CCCCCCCCCCCCCCCCTACGCGTCATCTTTCCCGTCGTTGTTGTTGTCATCATCGGGGGGGCCTGAACCCAACCAATCCAGCTTCTTCGCATCCTCCGGCCCCGTGATGCTTGCGTCGTGCCTGAAACCAATGCCACAGGGTGCCCAATGAGGGATGTAGTCGGGGTGCTGTCCGAACGTAGCGTTCGCCTTCCTGAGCCTCTCTGTGATGACTTTCGCGCCAACAACAGCCTGAAGCAGTCAGCCACCCGACAAAGACGCTCGTGCGAGATGAACTCGTCGTTGATGAGCGCCCCCATTTGCACCGCCGCGCGGAATGCATACGCGACGCAGATGACGGTGGACTCCTGGTGCGCCGCCATGTCGTCGTCGTCCGGTCTGTCCTCGATGTTGGCGCCGGCGAACCATAGTGGCAGGTCCATGGACAGATCTATCGTATGTGCGCAAACCGCCGGACTGACAACGTCGCACCACTCCTCGCCGTACCACATAGCACGTGCAATGTCCGTCGCAAAGGATTCCAACGAGTACTAGAAAGCCACATGGTATCCCCTCGGGCGGTTCCCGGACTTGAATACCCAACCGTGCAAGATGCGCAGAGCCACGTTCTCAAATGCCGCCGCACGGGAGATCGCTTGCTGCAGCTGTGATTGGTCGATGATCCTGCCTACACGCGTGCTGGATTTCGGACGCTCCGAGGGACGACAGGCGTTAGAAGACAGCTGGCGATGGTGACGAAGTACTCTCTCGTATCGCGGACGATGTTGTACAGTCTTCGCCCCTCCCCCATCGTCCAGAAAGCTTTGTCATCAACCCAAAAGACGGCACGATCGATGAGGTCTTTTGTCATGCTACTCCTATGTACCCGGCTTGAACCGCGCTCGCCCGCCTCCCGATCGCCTTTCTTCTTGCCACGCGCCTCCTCTCTGGTCGTCGCCCCAACTGCTACCTCCTCCCTCGCCATCGCAACGGCGGCCACAGTGCATGAACCGCCCGCCCCTGCAGCACCTCCCTCCTCGGCGCCAACTGCGCGCGCGTCCGCCACGACTTCCCCCCCACTGCCGCGTTGGACGAACCCTCCATTACCACCCTCGTTGTGCTGATGTGGCTGACACGGCGTGGCGGGCAGCCTACCCGAGACTGGCCTTTCTTTTGCAGCAACGAGTACGGCCACCTCCGACGGTGGGGTCGCTGCTGTATGAATGCGAATGCGACGTCTCTCCAAGGGCTCGTCATCATCGCCGCCAAGATCGACGACGAGAGCCTTCTCTGTCCGCGTTTCGCTGCCACGCAGTTGCTGCGCCTCGGGTGGCGGGGTCATCATCCTCTTCGAAGCGGTGTGATCTGAAGAGCGCTGCCGACCACTCTTGCGTACCTCAGACGTGGTCGCCTCCGCCTGCTCCTCCTCCGTCGTGAACTCATCGTCGTAGTCCCCTTCTGCTGCCGCCGCCCAACCTTGCGCTCCACGACGAGGCACCCCTACTGACACATCTTCCGTATGCAGCCTCTTCACTTTCGGGGCCTGCCGCCGCCCTCTTCCGTGCCCTTGGCTGTCATCAACGACTACGTCGCGCTTCTTCCCACGGGTGTTCCCTCGCGTAGACATGTTTCGTGGCGACCTTTGCAGGCGAGCTTGGCGGTGTGATCGGATGAGCGGGAAGTGTGGCCGACGTGGCAGAAAATATATCTCCTGGAAATATGTCTCCCGTGAAAAGTGTCTCCCGTGCGGTTGTGGCGTGACGACGACGACTTGTGCATGGTACAGAGAAGATCTGCCCTCCGTGGGAAGAAGACGTGACGACGACGGACACCCCCGCGACGCAGGAGATCTATAATCCGCGGGAAGAAGACAACGACGTGCACGTGGTAGACAAAAGATTTGTCCTCCACGGGAAGAAGACATGACGACGATGGACACCCCCGCGACGCAGGAGATCTGTCCTCCGCTGGAAGAAGACGACGATGTGCATGTGGCAGACAGAAGATCGGTCCTCCGCCGAACTCCGCGACGTGCAGGTGGTAGACAGAAGGACGAAGACGACGGTGAGAGTACTCAGCGGTGGAAAGACTAGCGGCGAGAAGAATAGAAGATCGATGATCACAGCGATCCGCGGCGAACATGCTTGCACCACTTCGTCGTTGTTGTGGGCGGTTTGCCGCAGGCGCGGCGGGCTTCTGTACTGGAGACGCCTTCGCGACGCGGACGACATACAGACGGGTTGGGATGCGCAGAACTTAAGTAGTCTCTCGCAGATGGACCTCCCACGACATCGTTTCTCTATAACGGGAAATGACATCGTCGACGGTGGCACGTGCGAACGCCTTGCCCACACTGGCGTGTCATTTCGATCCTCCCAAAGGTGCGAAAACACCCTTTGGCGTCCTTGCCGAGGCGCGTCAATTCACTCGCCAGGGACCGAACCCTTGGCCACCCCATCGCGTTTCCCCC